AATATAGTTTAGTCACCCTACTGGATGAGATAATATCAAAACTGTTAGGATAAGAAAATGCTTGGGTGAAAGAAACTGCCTAGAGCGGCAATTTAAAAGCTCTCGTGATACTTATTCTTTGATTATACAATGATGTAAATGTAATACATTACAAACCTATATCTGAGGGTATTAAAGCTTCATATTTGAAGGTATTAAAATGCCAAAACACTCTTTGAGCCTGTGACTCGTAGGACTAAGTCTTATTCACAACGTGGCATTACTCACGTAAGGTAAACAGAACTGCCCCTTTGTGTGATTTGACCAAAATGTTCTGCATTTATTATCCTGTCTTTCAGGCCATGGTAAGATGAGTTTCTTGACATATGAGACTCACTGAGATGTCTTCCTTTTGAAAAAGCTCCTAGATCTGACCTTTCTCAGTTGATACAAATAGTTCCTTGCAGAAATTTATACTAAGTAAAACTTCAGCTGGAACAGAAGAAACTTTTATTTTTTAGCTGAGAAACACCAATTATTCACCAGGCTAGACATATAAACCTAAAACTTAATATAAAATTTAAATAAATATTTGAAAATACTTAGAATACTGCATCTGCCTGTATTATAATTTTCTTTTGCTCTGTCTTGTCACACCTACCCACCAGATGGCAATATTTACTTGTAAGTAACAAACGCTAATTGTGTCTTCTGCAGCAGAAATTATTTATCAGTCTTTGATTCTGCTGTGGAATATGTGAAGTATATAAACACATCTGTCTTTACATATATCGCTGCCCAATTCGTATTAGTTTGGAAATAGATGATTAATGTTTTAAGATTGCAGAGACATATCTGATGATACAATTTTACAGCTCTTGTGCATAATGTGTATATTTTTTTAAAAAATGTGTTCAGTGTGATAATCAGGATTGCTACCTTTAAAAGACTTTCTGAGCAATACCGAGTACTGAATTAGTATGGAGGAACAGAATCTGTTAGAGTAATTAAGCTTGCCACTCATCTAGTCTCTGATCTTCCTGGTGTCCCTGATGTACCCTCCAGAAGAACTGACCTCCATTTCTTTGAAAAAACCTGAATTTTGCATAAATTACTAGCACACTACACGGTAAGCGCTCTCACTAAGATGTTGTCTTTTCTACATGTAGAATAAACAAACTGGGATCAGGCAGTGATTTTGAAGCTTACTTTCAGCGACTGGGAATTGCATCAGGCAGAGTCCGTTATACCAAAAATAGGGTAAGTCTTCCAGATTGCTTAGAGAAGTTTGATAGTGCTGAGCAGTCATGTTTTAAAAACATTTATTCATGATTAATGAAAAAGCTTCAAAGAATCCTTGACTGGTTTGTATATCAGTGCCGTTTCTTAATTTAGCAAGAAACCTAAATGTTTGGAGAATAAAACTTGTTACAGTGATGTGTGTGTTCTACAGGCTGTCAAGTTCACAGAAAGGTATTTATAGAATCTGATTGGAGGTGTGTATTCCATTCCACCATACTCTTCCTTGATTTGGTCAGAAATAACTACACAAGACAAAAAGGGGCCCTGATTGCGGACTTCTGCTGTCCAAAACCACAAACTGTTTTCGCTTTCAGTGAAGGGAATCTCTGCGCAATGGAACGGAAGGTGCATCTGTGTAGGCAGAGAGAAGGAAGCCTGCTCACCTAGTCTTGTGCAGGTTTAGTTTCTTAAAATGAACACACAAAAATGGAAGGACAGCACCTTGTGCCTTGTACCAAATAGCTTTTTTTAAGTTGGAAACTGTGCAAAACACGGTAAGTCATTAAGTGATTCACAGATCCCTTAACTGCAGTCAGAATACAGGGCTCTGACAAATTTGCTTGCTCTTTTTCAGAAAGCAGACAAATTCAGCAATTATCCTGTTTATCACACTGTGTATGAGACCTTTGAGTTAGTGGAAAAATTTTATGACCCCACCTTCAAGAAACAGCTAACAATTGCCCAGTTACGAGGCAAACTGGTTTATGAACTGGCAGACTCCCGGGTCATTCCGTTCGACTGCAGAGATTATGGAGAAGCCTTAAAAGGATATAGCAATAGAATTTATAAATTGGCCAAGAAACATGAAGAACAGCTGAAATCTTACAAAGTATCATTTGGTGAGTAATATCCACAAGACTGTTTCTCAAATGCATTAATTAGAATCATGCAGAGACACGTTGTATCTGTTATAGCTCTGAAACTGAGTTCCGTACTTTCCTGTTTCAATTCTGCCAGAAGCTAATTTTTTTCCTAAACCTAACACTTGTTTAACACATTATGGTCTAGATGAGAGGGTTATAACAATTTACATGCATATTATTAATTATGGACATTATTACAGTGCTCATGAACAGTCACGGACCTCAAATGCAGAGCAAGGAGATATATCAGCCTAGTTCTCACTCTCTTGCTTAAAAAAGAAGAAAAGTTTAATGTTGAAGGCAACTGTCTGGATCTTGAGGGACACAGGTCCCCATTCCTCCTCAGCCAGACTTCACCTGACCCTGGGAAACTTGCTTACCATCTCTCTTAGTGCCTGGCTACCACTTTTAGGCCACAGAAGCACTTCTCTAACTCTTCTGCATAAATATATCCGTTTGCTGAGCACTTGAACTTGCAATGAAGCATATAAACTAGGTCTGAAGGAGCAGAGCACTCTGGGTCCTGGGCTATGATAGCTTCCATGGTAATTTTATTTCTCTACCTCTCTCTCTCTCTTCTTTTTCCTTCTTGTCTTATTCACCCCTTGTGCTTCTGTAACAAGTCAGTCCTTAATTCACTTGCTAGAGACATAAAGTAGGTTTTTGGAGAAGCAGTACTCTTTTGGGTTGTGTGAAACATCAGAAGTAACTCAAATGGAATCCTCATTTGGGGAAAATTAAAAATGACATTTAAAGCTTTATGTAATGGCTTAGGTGACAAATTCTTGACTATTTTGAAAAGACACACTTTTTTTTTGTAAAAAGGCCACTCAAGACAAAGGAAGCCTTGTATGATGGATCATGTGGTCTGGGATTTTGCACAACATATTTCAATATGTTCTTGCGTTTACTGCAGCATACCTCGTATACCTACCAAAATTTCTGTTAAATCATTTATTTTCATTTTTTTAGTTTCTTTCTCATTTCAGATTAGAAGTTGCCCAAACTGCCTTCTGAGCAATGCATATATTTTTGTTCCTAGATTCTAGAAGCAACCTTTTTTTTAAGCTTTTTTTCCCCCCAAATATCACTTAACCATCTCCTTAATAACTTTTTAGATGTGTTATTTTGACCAGTTTTTTACAAGGCATATTTTTCAGTCTTTTCATTATTTTCATGGCCCTTCTCTGATGCTTGATCAGTTTTAAATTATTCCTTGAATAAAACTATAATTTTTAATTTTTGTCTAGTCTATTGCACCAGAGTACATTAAAACATATAGGCAGTTTTTACATACTGTGAAAATTAAAATTAATTTCACTCAGCATTTTCATCGAATTGCCTATTGATAGCACTGAAATGTCAGAATATGGTTAGTTAAGCCTGAATAAATCACATAATTGTCCTTCAAAATAATAGATTAAGGTTTTTATTAGCCTTTGGATTCACATTTCAGCTGTTTCTCTGCAACAATGAAGGCTGGAAACCTTTTTTCATAAAATATGTACTTATAGTCATATACTCTCAGGAATTAAGGTTTGTGGGGCGGAGGGGAAGAAATGTGATATTTTCTGAAATAACCAACACTGACAACACTGAATAGCTAGTGAAGATGAGCTCAAATTCTCTTACATGTTTTCAGATGATCTTTCCTTTTTTCTCTTAAATCCCCTCCTACTGCTTCTGAAACATAATCTGGTGCCATGAAAGCACCATGATGTCAGCAGAGCAGAGCTCTGTCCTCTGGCAAACTTATAACTATTGCTACGGTTGTGGACAAGTGTAAATTCTCACCCTCACAAGGTGACGTGGGTCTGTCTATACTGCAGTCTGTAAACAGCTTGCATACACAAAGCCTGTGCCTCTAATTATGCAAACTAACAAAAATATTAATAAAAGAACAAGCACGTGGAGGCTGGTGATGAATGAATAAGTTTGCTAGAAACAGAAGAGCAAACAAGACGGCAGAACAGCTTTCAACAGGAGTCCTGGGAACAGAAAGCCTGTCACACTAAATAGTGTGATAACTCTGTCTACAGAGAGCCCATCATGCTAAGACAGTGTGATAAATACATCAACAGGGAAGGGCCGTAGATGCCAACAGAGGACTGGCTTTAGGAGATGACCTAATCTTATGCTCTGTATTCCTGTACAATTGAAGAGAGAACGCGCCGGTTTATCTAAAGTTTTCTGAAACTTGTGGGCAAAATGCACAGGTAGTACTGTTTCCTTCTCTGGGACCGAGTTGAGTTTTGGCAAGGCCAGAAGTTGTCAAAACATCCACCTATTACTTTACAAAAATCAGTTGTAGCAATTGATGCTTTTCCCAGGTCTGTATTAAATAGACCCTTCCACAGGAAAATCGTCAGGGCTGATATGCCGTTAAAAGAAAGGCCTGATGCCTCTTTGGCTGAGTCATTTTGCGTGGCTTGGACGTGCTGCCAGGGACAGAGCAGGTAAAAGCAACCGACTTACCCACCAGCCTGCCTGCACACAGTCAGGCACAACAGGCAAAATCCCGTGGTTTGGGCCGCAGCTCTGTGGGTGGCACGTGGGGTCGTGGCAGGCACCTCCCGTGCTGTAACCAGTGCACGTGTGGACTCGGCTGCTTTAATCTACCTTGTCTATCACTGTGTGCCATGACAGTCGTGTCTTCTATGCCTCACCTAACACTATTCAATATACACATCACACTCTTCTGTTATGATATGAATAGGACATAATGTTGCAAGAGAGAAATCCTGCTGTCCTTCACAGCCTGCTGGAAAAGCTGGTGTTTTTGATGTAAGTCAGGCTTTTTATACCAAAATGCTGCAATGCATCCCTTTGTCAATAAAAGGGAACTGCAGAGTTCTCTGTTTGCAATGCCAGCCAGTCTTCTCCTTGCTGGGCAGAGGGAAGATATGCATTTGTGAAAGCTTTGTCAAGCATTTGGCTTTACTGTTGGCCTCGTTGCACAAGGTCTCTGTCTATTACTGCTAGTAGTGCGGCTCTTTAAAGCCTGCACCGGGGAAGTTAACGAATTACAGAAAGACAACGGAACTAATGCAATTAAAGCATCAAAACAAATGTAGTTTTTCTCCCACTGGGCAACTGAAAGGTGTATTGGGCTCAACAGAGACTCTGAAGTTGTTCACAAAGTCCTTCCTTTTCTAGATCCTCTTTTTTCCGCTGTGATGAACTTCTCAAAGGCTGCTACTGAATTTCACAGGAGACTTGAACAAGTTGACAAGAAAGAGTAAGTCTGAAAAAAATGTATTTTATATATATGGGCATCTGGTACCACCCTTAGGTACCCAGGGTGGCAGTTCTTTCTTTCCAGTGACTACACAAGGAGTCTCTCTGATTAGTGTAGAATAGAGCCCACGAATTCTGAGACAGGCAACATCTGTTAAGATGAATTCTGCTCCCCATGATGAATAGTGTCAGCTGTCACTAGTATCAGCTTGTCATTAAAGTTATTGCAATACCTGGAAAGGCAGGTAGCAGTGAAAGTTAAAGTTGGACTGAGCTCTGTGTTTAGGCACCTACACTTGGCTGTTGTAGGTGATGCCAGAATTTGTACTTTCAGCACACTGTAGGGTGACACTTCAGAGTATCTCAGATGTCCATATGGTGCTTGCAAAACTTAGGGCCCTATGAGTGCAGTGTCGAGGGGTGAGGTGCTCTTAGGCACCTAGTATGGTACCAGATAGTTGTGTTTAGGCAACTGAATCCCATCCTTGCTATGTTACTGTATAGATTAGAGCAGAAGTTTGGACACTTGCCTTATGAGTGACACTTGTCTTATGGGTGGACACCAAAATCTGGCTGTCTTCCTCTTGACCTAAATCTCAGCCTTCCTGTCCCCTCTGCTAAGTGGGATCTTTCTAGTGACATTTAATACTAAGCAAGTATCTGACACTCTCAGAAAGTCTCCCATTTTATTTTGCAGAGTGAGAAATCTAGTAGTTCTGTTTCCTCACTCAGAAATTCCAATGCATTAGTATAACACGTATTGAACATTTCCATTTGCAAACCCTCATCTTTTTAAAAACTGTAGGCCATCTTTGTAATTTCTTTTCTGTCCAAAGACGAGGAAAAGTATTTAAATGAAACTGGGAAATCATGTTTCCTCATTGTGTGAAATGTCTCTGTCTCCGTTTTCTGCAGTCCAGTTGCAGTGCGAATCATGAATGATCAGCTGATGTTTCTAGAAAGAGCTTTCATTGATCCTCTTGGCTTACCAGGACGGAAGTTTTACAGGTGAGGCAACGAGTTTCTTGACCAGCTGTCTAAGGCACTGCATTTTTGCAAGTAAACCCCACCCTAACTGACTGGTCAGCTGAACTGCTGTATAGGCCTCATACAGGAATTACAGCTCAGCGGGTCGGTTTAGGTACAATCCAGTGAGTAGCGGAATTTGTGTGTAACCCCCAAGGACAACTCTTTGGCTGCACCAGCCTTATGGTGCCTAATCCCTCTTCTTGGGTCTGGCACTCTGTTTTTATTAGCCATCATACTCTGTGACTTTTACTTGCAGGTGCGCAGTACTACTTCTGTTACCACTTGCTCTTTTAAACCCATACAAAGTGAGGACTGAGTGGAGAATCAACTGTGCTGAAAAGAACAAGAGAAGAGTAAAAGGGAGAAGAGGATGAGAACAGTTGTGTAGTGACGGCCAGGTGAAGAGGGAGGTCCAGAAGAGAGAGCTTGGAGAGAGAGACCTTTGAGCACAGGATAGATAAAGGCCCATGAGCTCTGCTGCATTGTCCCATCTGTCCCAGCTTTGGCTGCTTCTATAGATGCTGCCATTAGCTCAAATTGTTAACTCGTTATTCAAGAAGTTTTCACTTTACAAGCACATGGGCCCAGAGAAAGACAATGTTTGGTGCACCACAATACCCTTTATAGAAACGCCATGCATTTATTAGTATTACTCGACAAAAAGACTTGACACCAGTGTCAGGTGTGTGACTACCTCACTTAGTACTCTCAGTACCCCCCTCTTCCTAAGGACTGGATCTCTCTGACTCACTGATTGATGGCTTTCACACCAAGCCAGAAGTCCCTCAGGCAGGTGGAGTTGAGAATCACACTTCCATCCTCCTAGGAAAAACTGTTGTTCACACTTTCAGAAGAATGAAATGGTTGTTTTCTACAGTTTTCTTGTTGAATGTTAGGTATCATTTAGAGCTGTCTGGATTTTTAAATATTTTTTTACTTGCTTGCATTTATTAATGTAGTTTTAGTGTTTATTTTGATTTGGGGGGACTCTTTCACAGCTATGAATGTTCTTTGATACTTCATATGAACAAAATCGGTTTAAAAGCGGATCTGCAACTATTCATTATTTAAGAAAAAAATGCCACCAACAAATAAAATTGATGCTTTTGCGCAGTTCTGTTCCAATATGATCTCTTCTCTGAAGAATTCATGCTCTTCTCAAGAATTCTCCCATAGATTGTTTTTCCTTTTTTTTACACTCCTTTCCCAGATCTGCTGACCATCATTCAGCTGCTTAGTTATTTTTGAGGTTTCTGTTCCACATTCTCATAGACCCATAACTAGTTTTATCCCCTGTTCCAGACTGCCTCAAGTTTGTTGAGCTCCCATTTTCAAAAAATGCAACACGGTTTTATTCCTAATTAGACATATGCATCATCTCTTCCCAAGAAGAAGGCTACCTGTGCTAAACCTGTGCCCTTTCCCACAGATCTAATTAGACATATGCATCATCTCTTCCCAAGGAGAAGGCTACTTTGCCCTTGTGGGTGTTTCCTCCTGTCCTTTTAAAGACAGGTCCAGCTCGATTTCCTGTGTATTTAGTAAGTTCTGATCTTCACAGGATTTATAGCTGCTTTATGGAGCACACACACAGTTCCCTACAATGAACTCACACATGGTTACCGGTTACCTTTATTTAGTGTACCTACATGTTTTTCCTCCTTCCCCGCAGACACGTCATCTTCGCTCCAAGCAGTCACAACAAGTACGCTGGAGAGTCCTTCCCGGGGATCTACGACGCCATGTTTGATATTGAAAGCAAAGCTGATCAGCATGAAGCCTGGGAAGAAGTTAAGAGGCAGATTTCCATCGCAGCCTTCACTGTGCAGGCAGCAGCAGGGACACTGAAAGAAGTAGCGTAGGACAGTGGCTTCGAAAAGCTCAGTCAAACAGCAAAGTCTGAAACGCAGCGTAGTCAGGAGACTGCAGGGAGCCAGTCTCTCCCGACTGCCTGCTGTATCTGAGTTTCCAACCTTCGGAACGCGTGCCAGCTGACTGCTAGGGTGAGCAGGAGCTCTGTGCATCAAAGAACTCCTGAGGTAGAAATTGCTGCTTCTCTGATACTGACAAAACTGTAGCTTTAAGAACGACCCTAGATGGAAGAAAATTTGAGGGTGGGGAGAAGGAAGAATCAGTTCCCAAAACTCCCAGAGTTTTCTGAGAGATCTGCCAGTTTTGATGACCTGTTATTTTGGATGTACAATTACAAAACCAGTTATTTGCCAAGCTACCTGTAAATCTTGTCCATAGCGGTGATCAACAGCACGCATTTCAAAAGAAAAAAAAATAACAGTCCTCAGCATGTGCATTTTTGTTGTTCTGAGAATTACTTTTAGAACATAAGACACCAAAGGCATCTCTGTATTTTAGAATTCATTCTGCAGGAGTGGTGAACGCTCATTATACTGATTTGCTTTCTTTTCCTGAAAAAATAAAACACGGGCCCTCCTGCTGGTTGCCAAAGCAGTACTAGCCATTGATAACCCGAGAAAACAGCTGCTGATATGCAGAAATCCTAGAGCATTTTCTTGGGGAGCGAGTGTCCATCCCTCGGAAAGTCACTGTGCACCTCCCTCCTTTATGTTGGGTTGACATTTGGACTTGATGATCTTACAGGTCTTTTCCAACCTTAATGATTCTATGATTTGCACTTCAGAAAATAAAAAATTAAGGTGGATAACCAAAAGCTGACCCCCCCGACTCCTTTTGGCACTTTCACTAGTCCCAAACCCATGGAAGCTTTTGTTCTTATTTTTTCGCGGGAGATCTCTTTCATGCAGATGTCTTCTTCCAGTTGAGGGAGCTAGAGGACGCTGTCACTATCGGCATGGTGCTTGAGGTTATTCTGTCTTCCCATCAGGAGCTGCTGTTGCATTCAAAGAGAAACTGAAATGCATGAGAAGGGTAATTGTACAAAACTGTTTAATTTGTAAAAAAATTGATTCTTGCCTCATTTGCCCTTTAAAAGTACTTCTCATCTACATGCTTTACAACTAATAAAATTGCTAGAATTTTATTAAATCACAAACCAGTTTGTGGGAGCTGATAATAACCAATTTCTTCTCTTATGTAAAATACACTACAGTTTTTCCCACAACGACAAATTGCAACAGGTTGTGGGAATAAAATCCTTTTTGTTTTATGGGGAATAGAACCGATGTGGTACTAAAAAAGACAGAATTAGAGACACAGGGCAATTAGTAGGCTACAGGAGGAGTCGTTCTCATCTCAAATCCCTTGAATTCAGACAAGGGAACCAGAAATTGCTATAGTTCAGTCCTTTGGGAAGTTGGTTTGGGGGGGTATATGCCACCAAGGAGAGAGGCTTTCATAGTGGCATCACTTCCAATAAGCCTCTCTGAAAGACGAAGGACTGTGTACCTATGGATGTTGTGCTCATAACTTACAGTTAAACTGCTTTTCACAAATCAAGCCTTAGGCACACGAGGAGGAAATTACACTTCCACAGTCCATGCTTTACCCCTTCTGCTGGAAAAAGTAGCGCTTCACTGACCTTGTCAGCACGCTCGTAAGAGACAGGAGCAGTCACCGCTGAGGACACCAGAGCAGTGACTACGTTTTTGTTGCTCCCTTTACTGCTGCCTAACTGGGGCCACTCACCGCCATTAAGTTGTCCATGTCCACATCTGTAGCTCAAGGCGCCACCGAAGGATGCGATACCCTGTGAACGGTGACCGGTACGTCACTGCACTGGTTTTTCTTCCCTTTTCCTGACTCACCCGCTCTTCCCGCTCCATCACAGCTTTATGGTAACTGCAACGGGCAGCAACAGAATGTGCCCCCAGGGAAGGGTTAGGATATCCGGATGGTGGAAAAAAGCCACTAGTGCCCCTTGCGAACAGCAGCCAGCTTCGGACCTGTCAGTGGTCGCTGCTGTAAGATCATCAGAGGATAAGGCAAGCAAGGACTTTCCACATAAAAAGGAAATATCTCGATGAAGCGTGCTTCCTCCTTGATTTACAGAACTCTCCTTCACAGTATAAACCAGTGAAGAAATATTTTACCCGTAAACACACTCTTCCAGTGGTAGTTAGCCTTTGAATTTCTGTGCCATTACCTTGCTGCTGCAAAAGCACTTATTATCTCTTCTTGTTTCTGTGAGTGGTCTGAGGCTCTAAGAATAAATTCCAGCTCACATCAAGCTGAATGCTCAGCTGGCACCGATTGCCTCACTCCTCAACTTAATTGATAACGCTGTATGAAGGTACAATTCATCCTGACCCGCTGCATCCCGAGAAGTACACAAAACAGCTTTAACTTATTTCCATTCCTGTCTGTAAAGTTCTGCTGAGGGACCCTTATAAATAAGGAAACCAAACCACTTATAAATGGCTTATGCTAATTAATTTCCATAAAGTCCCATATTCTTGGTATTGAAAGGATCAGTTACTCAGAGCTGAGATTGCCTTCCCTGCTCCAGTCAGTCGTATCTCCTTTTCCACAGATGGGCAACCAAGCAACTGCTGCTGCCTCCCAGCCCAAAGGCCACTGCATTTGTGCAGCTCTTGCCTGCCCACAATTTCAAGGTGGGGGGTGGTGGTGGTATTTTTCAGGCTCTCCTTACAAATGGGTAACACTGGACCACCTCTCTGTCCTTCCCCAACTCCGTCTGCACAGCTCATTCACTCAACCTGGCTGATGCAACCTCCAAATCACATAGCTGGGTGAAACAGACCCTTCAGCCTCAACCAGGGCCGCAAAACAATTTTGCAAAATTAAACTTGGATGAATCAAGTATCACCTGGATACCTGGTTTGCCAATCGTCTCTTGAGAGAATCAATTTCAAAGGGACAGTGCCAGGAAGTTGATTTCAAGTTGTCTTATGGTTGAAACACCTCTGGTTTGCCTTTGGAAACCCTAACACTTGGTCAGTTCAGTGACGGCTGGGAGGTGGGGATAACCTACATGCTCCATTCTCCACTGCATAAGTGATAAACGCAATCCCATTACAACACTCATTCATTTGCACCAAAAAAGGTAGTAATTTAAAATAGTTATTCTGCTGTGTTTTTCGATTGCTCAATAAATAGAAATAGAACCACCTAAAATGCTCTGCAGTTCTTAAGGTTAATAAACACTCAAACTAATTAAAAAACTTTGAAGACTGAGTGTTTGGGACTAAGTGATGCCAGTGCTTCTCTCAACACCCTGTAATTTAGCAACCCTTCCCGAAGCTGACCCATGCACCAAGGGACTGCCTTCGTAGAGCACTGAAATTAAAGTCTCCCTATCCCAGTATCCTGATGGCTGAAGTACAAGCACACCAGCTGAAGAACTTACATCAATCCCCTCAGTAGCTCTACAGTTCAGGTGTTAGAACAGGGCATCTGGATTTGTCCCTTCTTTTGGTTCAGGCAAAGCAATTTGTCAAGTCCGTGTCAAACTTTTAAATTGCTTCAGCTGATCTCCAATCGCATACTTTTATCACTGTGGTGAAAGAAAAGCACCCTGTGTAACTCAGTGTATCTGTTAAGGAAAAGACATTGCAAGAGGAAGGTCCTAAAGCAGTCCATCAGCCCCGTAAGCAGATGACCACAATCAGTACCGGTGCTGTACGCTGACTTTTTCACAGACCTGATTTCTATTATCCTGCCCTTCTTCTATAGACCCTGTATAAAATAACCTCTGCATGTTCATAAGGGCCAAGAGAATGTGAACTCCATGGACCACATGGTATTTTGCGACAGAAGAGGACCTGAACACCCGGCCGGCAGCCAGTGACCCAAAACCCTTTCCTTGTGTGGAGGAATTATTGCTGTTCCTGTCCGTGCTGCCGAGTAAGACGGCAGGCAGCAGAATCACAGAATGGTGGGGATTAGAAAAACAGGTTTAAAACAAAGAGATTCCTCACACTGCATGGGATTATGTGGCGAAGCTCATTGCTACAGGAGCTTGTGAAAGGTGAAGTGGGTTAGAAGAGGATCCGATGCATGCACGGAGTGCTCGTGCCTAATGATCCAGATGCAACCTTGCATCGAGAAGGCCCTAAAGCACTTGGGAATTAAAGCATATATGTGCATGAAGGGATTAAAACACACCTGCTCAATTTCTTGCTTTAAGCATGTCATGGAGAGATTATTGGGAAAGACAGTACTTTGCACTCTCATTGTAGCGCTTTCCACTGAATAGACAGCCCCTTAAGCGCTGCTGGTGGTCCTCTATTTGCGTGCCCTTGATTAAAACCCATGAAAATTAATAAACATATCTTCAAAAGGTTGCTTGTTCTCCTCTTTAAACCAAACTAATAACTAAATACGCCAATCAGAGGCTTTTTTTAAAAAAAAAAACAAACCACAAAATTGCTTAAAAGCAGAAATAGTTTATCCTCCAGTGATGGCATTCAGGGGGTAAGAGGTGCTGTGCAGCATCTGCAGAGAAGAGCTACTGCAGTGACCTCAAATTATTCCTAAGGAAAACAGCAGCAGGATATGATTCTAGAAGACACTGAAAGTCACTGAAGACTTTCTGCACCTCCCAGGCATTGCTGTAGAAACCCTCAAGGAGGCAGAGCTGGAATCTTCAGGTGACACAGCACCAAAAGCAGCTGAGGACTGCCTCTCCGCAGCTGGTAGGAACAGGATACACTCAGCACGGCCTGTTTTTTCTCTCTCTTACTCTAAATTCCTCTATTTTCCCTCATGAGTTTTTTAACATACAGTTAAGAGTGCCATTAAGAGAGCTGAATGATGATGAATGTCATGGACTTCCTTACAGCAAAGCAGAGGAGACACCACTAACTAAATGAAATACAGAAATCTTGCTTCTGCTACGCTGCTCTCCTCTGAGCCAAACCAAAGCGCTGCGTTCTGCACTGAGCAACACCTGCTGCGCAGCAACGGT